GTAACAGGGTTTCAGGGTTTCAGGTTTTCTTGGTTTCAGGGTTTCGGAGTTTTGGGTTTTTTTGGGGGTTTCTGGGTTTTGGAGTTTTTGGGGTTTCTGGGTTTTCCGGGTTTCTGGGCTGGAGCGGCTTCAGTTCTTTTCCGTCTGTGCTCCAGATGTGGACGTTCTTACAATCTGCGCTTAAATGTTTAAAGACTTGAACGGAGGAATTTGGTGCAGAACATTATTGCTTTCGCGACGCTCCGGTGGAAACTAATGCCGGTTCATTTAAAGGTGATTTGTTTTTGGTTTGCAGAGGAAACGAGCCGTTCGCGTCTCAATCCTGAGCCGCCGGGTCAGAGCCGAGCGTGACTCCGGAGGTCACAGGTCACGAGAGCGAGCAGCAGGTTATGGAGTCTGGATCGGGATGAATTTTTCTGTCTGAGCCGGGCCCGCGTACGACAGAGCAGTGATCAAATCTGACCCAAACCAAATAGACTTTAAGATATAATTAAAACTAGAAAAGCAGTCAGAGAGCGCAGACCTCCGCCAAGGACCACCCCCATCTTTTATATAAACTGCGATAAAATCCGTCTTCTGGATCAGATCCGGATCAGCCTTTGGAATATGAAAGAGGATCCCATTGTCCATCCCTGAGTCAAATTTCATGGGGTTTGGTCAAAAATTAACCCAGATATTGAGAAACTAAATGTTTGGCCCCATTTACCACAATGTGAACTAAAATTTCAAAGTGATCCAGAATCCAGGATTTCTTCCGGATCAAACCCAAAATGAAATCAGTTCTTCCTTTTCACATTTCCAACAAATCCTGAAAATTTCATCAAAATCGGTCCATAACTTTTTGAGTTATGTTGCTAACAGACAAAACAAAAAACAAACAAACAAACAAACAAACAGACAAACAAACACAAACAGACAAACAAACAAACAGACAAACAAACAGACAAACAAACAAACAACAAACAAACAGACAAACAAACAACAAACAAACAACAAACAAACAGACAAACAAACAACAGACAAACAACAACAAAAACAAACAGACAAACAAACAGACAAACAAACAAACAGACAAACAAACAGACAAACAAACAAACAGACAAACAAACAAACAAACAAACAAAAACAAAAACAAACAAACAAACAAACAACAAACAAACAACACAAACAGAACAAACAAACAACAGACAAACAAACAAACAAACAGACAAACAAACAAACAAACAACAGACAAACAAACAACAGACAGACAAACAAACAGACAACAAACAACAGACAAACAAACAGACAAACAAACAAACAGACAAACAAACAGACAAACAAACAGACAAACAAACAAACAAACAAACAAACAGACAAACAAACAGACAAACAAACGCCAGAAAAAACCACACTATTTTCATGGGACTAATGACACACAGAGGATATTGTTTGTGTTCCTCTAACGGACACACAGATGCAAAATACAAACTCATGAAATACTGAAAATAATGCAAAGATTTTATTCCTCAAATTTTGTAAAGTTTTAAATTTAAAATGCAGCAACTCATCTACATTATTTATAGAAACTGACCTTCAAAAATAATGAGCCCAGTCCACAAAACTGCGCTGTGAGTCCAGTTTTTTTGCACTGTTTAAAAGTAAAAAAGTGAGTTTTGTTTCTCACGTGTTCAGATTGAGGTGAAGCTGCAGGTTAACGACAGTGACTCTAATAATAATAATAATAATAATAATAATAATAATAATAATAATGCATCAGTTTTATACGGCGCTTTTTTGGACACTCAAAGACTCTTTACAGATCATTTTTCATTCACTCCAGACACGGTGGTGGTAAACTACAACTGTAGCCACAGCTGCCCTGGGACAGACTGACAGAAGTGAGGCTGCCAGTCTGCACCATCAGCCCCTCTGACCATCACACACACCACTTTCATACTAGACAATAAGGGTGAAGGGCACAACAACAGTTTTTGGTGACATGGTGCCTCCTGTGGCTCCTGATTTTCCCAGTGTCTCCATCCAAGTCCTGCCCAGGCCCGGCCCCGCTGAGCTTCTGGGATCTGACGGGATCAGGCTTTGGACAAATCGGTGTGGCCACTTTACTTCCCCAGAACTTTATCTCCAATCTTTTACGCTTTCAAAATTCTGAATCTGAAGTTTAGCACCATCCATCCGATTTTCTTCCGCTTTTTCTGGGACCAGGACGCAGAGGCATCAGTCCAACCAGAGACTCCCAGACGTCCCTTTCCATGCACACTTCCTCCAGCTCCTCAGTCCAGAGACACAGTCCCTCCAGTGTGTCCTGGGTCTTCCCTGGGGCCTCCTCCCGGTGGGACATGAACACCTCGTGAGGGAGACGTCCAGGAGGCATCAGAACAGACGTCTAAGCCACCTCAACTGGCTCCTCTCAACGTGAAGAAGCTCCTCACTCTGTCTCTAAGGAAGCGCCCAGACACGCTGCAGAGGAAACTCATTTGTGTCGCTTGTATCATCGATCTGGAGGAGCGAAGACTGACACTAAATCGAGAGCTTCGCCTTTCGACTCAGCTCCTCTTCACCACAACGGTCCGATACAGCGACCGCATCACTGCCCACGCTGCACCTGTCCACCTGTCAGTCTCTCGCTCCGTCCTCCCCTCACTCGAGGAACAAGACCCCGACAGACTTGAACTCCTCCACTTGAGGCAGGGAGGGTTTGGGTTTGGACTTGGATCTAAACTAAAAGTGCAGAGTCTGATCTTTGAACACTTAAGCCTCAGAGCGACTGGATTTACTGTAGACGGGAAACAGACGACGCGCTGATGTGTCCGAGTCCGACCCGAGCCTCAACATAAGTTCTAAATATTTGTCCAAACCCGTCGGAGTTTGGTTGGGTTTCCTTGCTCTAGTGCAGGTCACATGACGGAGCTGCTGGTCACTGATTGGACGATATTTGGTGCTCATAAAGGTCATAACGGGCGACATCTGAAGTTTATATCGTGGACATTTTTATATTTGGTCCTGGTCAAGCAGAAGTAAACAACAAGGCCAAAAATTCAAGTTAATGCATCTGATATAAAAATGTATTGAACAGATACATATGTACTCTAGTTTATCAAACTGTTGACCTTTTTTCTGTACCATTTTTGGTTCTAAAGTTCCATACGTTTTAAACAGACCATGTATGAAACATGGAACAAAAATTATTTCCCAAATTTCAAAGACACAAAAATCATGTAAATAAATGGATGTATTTCATCATATCTTGTGTTATTCCATCTTTGAACTGTTGATGAAGGGACATGATTTAAAAAAAAAAAAAAGTATTTAAAAAGATAAAAATTTGCTTGGAAGGACTGACATATTTTATAGAAATAGTTTCCTTTCATTTTGAAGTAATATTAAAATATTCAGAAGAAAAAAGCGACAAATGATGTAAAATCCTGCACCTTCTACTTGTTTGTACAATTTTCCCTCCGTTACCATGACCTTTCTTAATAAAAAATCTCATGAGTCAAAAAGTCAGAGGTTTTTCAACCTAATCTTGTACCATATGGTAGAAAACTATATGAAGCAAATATTCAAACCAGTTTGTTAAGGATATGGAAGTGAGAACCAAGAGTTATCACTGTTTGGATTTATTGACCAAAAAGTGCTGCATATTTAATTTTTTGTCTTGAACTTGAAAGAATCTCACAGGTTTAACTTGACCCTGTTGGAGTGTAACTCTTTCCTACATTCTGATACTTTACTTATTTCAATAGTTCCTCTAGTTTCTGAATAAGAGACATTTGAATGTCAAAAATCTGACCCTGTTTCCCTCCGTTAACACTTGACCCGGACCCATCTGTCTATCACGTCCTGCAGTATTTACTATTTACTGAAATGACTTTTATCCTCTCAGGCTCAAATTAATTTTTTGTATCAGGAAAAATCTGATATTTGGGGAAAATTATAATATGGGGTAGTAATATAGAATTCTGACTTTTTTATCCTTTGTAAACAAAAAAAAGTATTTTGCACTTTTGTCAGGCCGTTTGCATGTAGTCATTCTTGCACAGTCTGCATCGCCCATGTTTATCAGCATGGATGGGAGAAAAGGCTCCTGAGTAAAAAAAGCTCAGATAATATGGATGTGGAGTAAGTAGGTACTTGGAATTTAGCTGTTGCAAATCCGCAACGCCTGCCTGGAGAGGGATAAAACACTGAAAATTATCATTATTATTATTCAAGTTTGGTTTAGAGTCTGGACTGAACCTGGTTTTAACTTTCTATTTCCACGGAATCGAGCGGGTAATACCTCTAGAAAGTTACATACTGCAGCTTTAAGTTTTGGCGTGTCGAGTTCTGCTGCCACTTACTCGAAGTCTGCGAAACACATGTGCATTTAAACAGTTCGTAAAAAACGACCAGAGCTGAGTAAATGTCTTTAAAGTCTTTGAGGATTCTGGTCAAGTATCGTTTCTGTTTCTAAGAATAAACTGAGTGAAATGATCGAACTTTAACAGAAAACAGCTGAAGACGAGCCCAACGAAACGAACCAAAGATGTTGGTTTTATCTTCTCGAACTTCTTGGGTTGTGAAAAACGTCCGTCGAGAGAAACTGTTTGTGAATAAAAAACGAAACTGGAGCTGAAACGGGTCGTGAAACGTGACGTGCAGATGGACGACTGATTCCTCTGGACCTGATGTGAGTTTTAAATATTGCGTGCGGAGCTGGTTGTTGTTCGTCAGAGCTAAAGTCTAACGCTCAAAGCATCTGCTGGAGGGTCCGTCACCTGCTCGTTTCCATGGAGACGTCACTGCTCTGTCTGAAATGTCCCACAGTGTGACTTTAAACAGCTCGACTTCACTTTATTTATTCGGCTACAGGTGGTTTTACGGCTCAAAAACACCTCGAAAAACAAAACATTCTGACTGAGTGGGGTCAACTCTTCAAAGATCTGACCCGGAACTTCGTCCGGTTTGGTCTCCGTGAAGATAGAAAGGTTTAATGCCGTACTGTGGAACATTCCAGA